TGCAAGTCACAGGGCATAAGACATCAATTCACGCCAAAGAAAACTCCACAGCTGAATGGCATAGTAGAGAGAATGAATAAAACTTTGTTAAAGAGAATATGGTGCATGCTTTTTATACAGCTACACATTTGATTAATTTGTCTCCTTGTGTTCCTTTAGATGGTGATGTTCCAGATAAGGTTTGGCTAGGCAAGGAGGTTTCTTATAATCATTTGTGTGTCTTTGGGTGTAAGGCATTTGTGCATATTTGAAAATATTTGCAACATAAGAAAAGTAAGTCTGATACAAGGGTAGACTTCTCTAGTGTTTTAACGTGTAAATCATCAGCGTTGTCACAGATTTTGGTATTAAGAGAATTTCGCATAAGGATATGTACCGGAGATTCTCTGTTAAATTCTGTTTGCTAAATGAGTTTTGGGTGGCTATCAGCAACTAATAAGATGAAATTATAGAACTGCTCCTGTGTTATAGGACATCCTCTTTCTAATTGGATTAAATTATAAAGCAGATTTCTTCCTTTGGAATCTCGTGAGAATAAAAAATCATTTCCAAATTTGCTAAGTTTAGACTTTAGAAACTGGAGATGTATGCCATCAACTACTCCATATTCCTCCATTGTCTTATTTCGTTTCTTGATCATCTGTATCAATTTACGAATAAATCATCAATTTGCTTGAGCTTTTAAATTAATGTCTATCAGTGCATTGATAAGTTCATATTTTATATACTTTATCATATCATTTGAATGCTATTTTAGAGTATAAATTATGTGTTTATATAGATACTAATTTTTTATTATGATATTTATTTTGTTAAGCTTCATTGATTACTTTTAGTCAATTATGTACTAAAATGCTAGTCATGACATGTTTAGAAAAGTTAAAAACCCATTTTTATTATGTGCATAGGTTTATTGCAAGTGGGAAATGAAGAAAATAATAAAGCAAAGAAAAGAAAACAAACAAAGAATGGCTCACTTGACTTCTTTCTTACGTATTGCTTGGAGCAAAGAAGTAGTAGTGGGTTGAAAATCCGGGTGCATCTCAGCGCATAGCTGCTATGCATTTACAAAGCATATAGGAGGGAAAAATGTTAATTTGGCAAGCTTCTAGGTAAAAATTGACTCTAGAGTGGTATAATGCATCATTACTGTATAAGTTGTCTTAATATTACTTTTTGTGTATTATTATGCATGTAGTGGTACTTTTTACCATCCTATAGGTTGAATATTTTCCTCCAAAATACTTACCACCTGTCACCTATTATGCATGTAGTGGTACATTTTTTCCATCCTTTATGTTTGCTAACAAATAGCAGCTATGCACTAAGGGTTAACCTGAAAATCTACTAACTCAAAAACCCCAAAATATTCTAGGAGGCAACGACACCAAGAACCAGATGAAACCCTCACATAATCCACTGTTATAAGGCATCCACGCAACGCATAGGAAAAAGACATCATCATGGGGAGGAGGCGAATAGCACCCGAGAGAAGGACAAAGCAGCAGCAAGCCACGCATCTAGACCGAACCTTGTTAAGCCCTAGTTTTTATGATAGGCTTTAATTGTTTTTGTTTTAAGCTAATGGGCCATTGTGTAGGCCTCTTTGTCTATACTATACTAGGTTGTATATAAACCTAATATTTAGAAAATACAAACCAAGGAAATACATATTCTTAAAATGGTATAGAAGCTATCGAACCTTAAAAACTAACTTTTTTTTTCTTCTCTTTTACACGCCTAGCTGAACACCATGGGTGATGATGGGAAACTTAATCCCTCCTCTCCGTTTTACCTAGGTACTGGAGATTAACCCGACAATTTGATTACTCACGTTATCTTGAAGGGTGACAATTACCTTGTGTAGTCTAGGGAAATTACCTTGTCCTTGAAATCGCGGCGAAAATTTGTGTTTGTAGAACAATCTCCAAGCCAAATGATAAGAATAAGATGCTCGATTAGGAGACCGTTAATTCTATGCTCGTTTCTTGGATTTTGCGGACTACAGATCTTAAGATTTCGGCATCTATTTCATATTTTGATGAGGCGAAACGCCTTTGGGATTACCTTGACAAGATATTCTCTGTTTCCAATGGCCATCGTTTGCATTAACTTAGGGCGAAAATTACTTCTTGTAAACAAACTAAATCCATGTCCATTAAGGACTACTATGGTTGGTTGATGGGATTATACGTGTGGTGCCTACACTTGTGATGTGGCTGGAAAATTTGCACTTGACAGGGAGGAGGAGAAGCTGCATCAATTTTTAATTGGTGTTGATGATGATTTGTATGCGTTGGTGAGGACAATACAAATTTATTGTCTCAACAACCCCCTGCTGACTTAGATAGGGCTTATCAGACGCTTCTTCAAGAGGAGCGATCTTGTGCTATTGTTCGTGGTAAAGTGAGGCTCCTGAGGCTCATGTGTTTGCACTACCTCCTGATAGGCGCAAAGCGCTTTCGGAGCGTAGAGACAAGTCCAAGTTATTTTGCTCCCACTGTCAAAAATAAGGGCATGATATTGAGTCTTGCTTTGAATTTTACAGGCATCCTGACTGGTGGATTGCAAAGTATGGGAAGAACAATAGTGGTGTGTCTTCTTTTACTTCTTCTTTGTCTACTAACGCTGCTACTCCTAATCGCAGCAAGCCAAGGACTGTTCGTGCAAATGTAGTGGGGACGTCCTCTGTTGCTTGTGATGGTGATGTTCTTTCATCTCAACAACAGGATGCTGGGAATGGTCTTTCTGCTTTGTCTGATCTCAAGCCTGATGATGTTAAAATCTTGCTTAATATGATTAATAATCGTCGTCAAGACAAAATTCTTGGTGAGTGTAATTCTTTGTCTTGGATTATCGACACCGTTGCCTATCATCACGTGACTAGTGACGAGTCTTGTCTCATGAATATGCAATCCATCTCTCCTTGCCCTGTCGGTCTTCCCGATGGTGCACAAGCCGTTGATACAAAGGACGGGCGTGTTTGTTTAACTGATGATATTATACTTGAACATGTTTTATTTGTTCCCAAATTGAATTGCAATCTCATATCGGTGTCTCAAATGATTGATGACTCGCATTGTTTTGGCCGATTCACTAACTCTATATGTGCTATATAGGACCAACATTCGGGGAGCCTGATTGGAGTCGGTGAACGACAGGATGGACTCTACTACTTTCGGCGAATTCTTACAGTATGTGCGGTGAAGGTTCCAGAGTTAACCACATTTGAGATTTGGCATCGTCGTCTGGGGCATCAGTCAGATAGAGTTGACAAGTTAGTTCCAGCTATTAGTTCTAGTTCTGGTAATAAATATTTGAATAAAGCTTGTGATTTTGTCCTCAAGCCAAACAATCACGAGATACTTTTCCTAATAGTGGATAGTAAGGCTAGTCGAATTTTTGAAATGATACATTGTGACATGTGGGGGTCTTATAAGACACCTTCTATTTGTGGTGCACATTATTTTTTGACTATAGTTGATGATTTTTCAAGAGGCGTGTGGGTTTATTTATTGAATAATAAAACTGAAGTTTATTCCGCATTTTGTTCTTTCTTTGTTATGATTAAACGCCAATTTGAGGTGGATGTCAAGTGTGTCAGGAGTGACAATGGTACCGAATTTAAATGCATGCTTCCATATTTTAATGAAGTGGCATTCTCTTTCAAACTTCTTGTGTTGGCACACCTTAAAAAAATGGTCGTGTTGAGCGTAAGCATCAACATATACTAAATGTGGGTCGTGCATTAATGTTGTAAGGTAATCTGCCTATCGATTTTTGGGGTGAATGTGTTCTTGGGGCAGTTTATTTGATTAATCGCACACCCTCTTGTTTGTTGGACAATAAAACACCTTATGATGTTTTGTTTAGGAAAGCACCTAATTTTGATGAGTTACAAGTGTTTGGTTCCCTTTGCTTTGCTCATAATAAAAAAGCTAAAGGAGATAAATTTGCACCTCGAAGTCAAAAATGTGTGTTTGTGGGATACCCTCATGGGAAGAAGGGTTGGAAATTGTATGATCTAGACACAGGTGATATTTTTGTGTCGCGTGATGTTAAGTTTCACGAAAATGAATTTCCCTTTGCAATTGTTCGGGAAAATGGTTTGTCGCACACTAATGATGTTGGGGTCAATGGTGCATCGACTGACAATGTAGGGGTGGATTCGGATTTTTTGGATGACTTGGAAAGCGTTTTGGCAGTCAGCAAGGCTGCTCGTGATCATGAACCCATGTTGGGCGTCACTGCTGCCTAGAAACAGGATCAGCCCAACAATGCAGTCTGCGACTCACCCACGGCTACCAATGCTCCCCGCAGCCCCCCTAGGGAGGCTAATGCTACTGCTACTCGGGCTGGTAGTCCAGAAGCTGCTGCTACTCTGGCTGGCAGTCCAGACCGCACCCCTACCACGGCTCACCCGCGGAGGCAGATGCTGCTATTGATCTTGGCAGTGACACCATGGATCCTATTGCTCTTGTTCGTGGGTTTCGTGACAAGCACCCTCCGGTTGGCATCGGGATTATGTAGCACATACTTTATTTGAAGAGAGTCCATCCCAGAGTTCATTGGACGATCACTCCTTGGGTACTCCCTATCCTTTAGCACATTTTGTGACTTGTGATAAATTTTCAATGCAAAACCGTATTAAATCTTGTAGCCGTTAATTCAGGTATCGAACCGCGTTCTTTTAAAGAGGCTATGAAGGACGCCGTTTGGAGAAAGGCAATGCAAAAAGAAATTGATGCCTTGGAAAATAATAAGACTTGGGTCATGGAAGAGTTGCCGGAGGGAAAGAAGGGTCTAGGTTGTAAATGGGTCTATAAAATAAAATATCATTTTGACGGCAGAGTAGAGCGACTCAAGGCTCGTCTTGTTATTTTTGGCAATCATCATGTTGATGGGATTGGCTATAATGAGACCTTTGCTCCTGTTGCAAAATGGTGATTATTTGGGCTTTCTTGGCCGTTGCTGCAGCGAAAAATTAGGAACTTCATCAAATGGATGTTCCTAATGCATTTCTTCATGTCGATCTTGAGGAAGAGGTGTATATGAGGCCTCCACCTGGTTTTCACGGAGGTAGACCGGGAATGGTGTGTCGGTTAAAGAAATCTTTATATGGGTTATGACAAGCACCGCGGTGTTGGTTTTCTAAACTTGCTGCTTCTTTACGGAGGTATGGTTTTGTTTAATCATATTCTTGATTATTCTCTTTTAACACTATCTCATGCGACCCTCTAGATTAGAGTGCTTGTGTATGTTGATGATTTGATAATATCTGGGAATAATTCATCTGCCATTTCTGCCTTTAAGAAGTATTTGGGTGAGTGTTTTCACATGAAGGATTTAGGGGTTTTAAAATACTTTCTTGGCATAGAGGTAGCTCGTAGTCCAGAACGCATTTTCTTATGCCAACGAAAGTATACGCTTGATATCATTTTGGAGGCAGGTTTGCTTGGTTCTCGTCCGAAAGGGTTCCCGATTGAACAAAATCACACTCTCGCTCTAGCAAAGGTCGAACCTATTGCAGATCTGGAAATGTATAGACGCCTTGTCTATCGTCTAATATATCTATGTTTTACTCGGCCTGATTTGGCCTATACTATTCACATCTTAGCTCATTTTATGCAGCAACCTCGGCAGGAACATTGGGATGCGGCTCTTCGTACTGTTCGCTATTTAAAAGGGAGTCTGAGTCAAGGGATTCGTTTAATTGCAGATTCTGATCTCACTTTGACAGAGTGGTGTGACTCTGATTGGGCAAGTTGTCCTCTTACAAGACGTTCGCTTACAGGTTGGTTGGTGTTTCTTGGTCGATCCCCAATATCGTGGAAGACAATGAAACAACAAATAGTTTCTAAATCGTCCGCAGAGGCGGTGTAACACCCTAGAAATTCCTTTCCCTTAAAATACTTGTTTTGCTCTTTTTAAAATACAAAATAGGAAATTCTATAACATTACCGCCACCGTGAAAACGGCTAAGGCAGTTATCAAAGACACACAGCGGAAAACCATTCAAAACAAGTCAACTTAAAAAGTCAAACCAAACGAAAGCAAAGTCAAACAAAGTCAACCTACAACTTGGAACCATTGTAGGCCCTTATCAAAACCAAAACAAATATTAAAAACCTTTGTGTTATTCTCACAAGCAAATATATAATAATCAAAGCAATTAAAAACATATATTCTTATGGAAACTAAACATGATTCGCTCTTCACTCATGCCCATCACTTCTTCATCTGAAAAGCTTCTCTTTACTTTGTCCCCACTACTCGCCATTAGAACTGGGTCGTCTTAGGGCCAAGATAAAGGCATGGCCAAACAAACACACAATTAGCAATGCTGAGTACATAAGCGTAAATAGTACACAATAACATGCTTTCATCCTATCAACACACAACTTACCTTGTTGCACCTGTTACAAGCATACAACATACAATACAACCAACTAATAAATAATGATTTTCTTATTTAATTTGATTACGCATCGAACGAGTTTTCCACCAAATCCCAGCCCTAAAGAATTGGGGTAAACTACACTGGGAGCTAACCAGGTAGGCAAATGTCACATGAAATTGATGGATGTCCTGCGCATAAAATAATAAAAGGAAAATACAGCGTCCTGTACTCTTAATAGAAGCTATGGTTAGATATAAAACCCCATAACTTCCCCCATATGTTTATATTCAAGGTGTATACGTTCCAAGAGTTTTGGTGCGTAATCTCTTTATCTTTATGTTGTTTCCATATTTTATAGACTTGGTGATGACTCTCAAGCCATAACACAAACAATCATAATAATCATTCAAGAAATTAAACGTATTAGTTTAAATTTTGAATAATTAGTGACCACATAAATTTAATGTTGAACCCTTTATAAACTATCTCGGCGTTAAATAACACTTTAAGCGCATAAAGCACTGCAAATCCTATCCCTCGGTGTTTAGAACACCTTAAGTGCACTTAGGCATTGCAATACATTTTATTCCTATGTACTAAGACACTTAATAGCCCAATTCCCATGCTTAAAGCAACAATAAAAATTATATGAACCATAATAAAATTCCCTTATTATATTCCAAACCAAATTAAACATTCAGTTTAATTAAACATGCATTTAATCATGCCAATAATAAAAGTGTGGTTCATAATCAACATGCCAACATAATTAATTCCAATCATCAATTCACCACAAATAATCCATACATCACAAATCAATCACCAACATTAATCCAATCAACAATTCCAACCAATACCTATCATGATACTACCTTGGAATTAATTAATCAAAGCCTAACATGCTTCTACACATTTAAGTAATTACCGAGTACGCGAACGTACCTCAAATATGATCTCAAAATCGCCACGACAAAACCAAATCACTCACTTGGAATTCTCCTACAACCCAAAATTACAAAGAGATATTAATACCTATTCATAATAAATTTCCAGCAATATATACACTCTTTAAATCACTTTTAAATCTTCTAAAACATGTTGAAAATTAATTTAAACCACCTACTTTTATTCCCAATTAATGGGTAATTAAAAATCCTTTCAAGAAACATAATTCTAGCCTTTATCTAAATATTCCGGCATTATAAAAACTTATAAACTTGTTGTAGTTTTGTTTAAAACCATTAATTTTCAATAGTTTTAATCAACTAGAATCAAATTCTTTTAATAAACATTAATTTAGAAACCTAGGATTTTCAATTTGGGGCTTTTTAATTCAAAATCTAAATTTGAAAATTATATACATATTAATCATAATTAAAACATCATGAAATCATCACACACACCCAAAATTAATAATTAAACAAGGTTGGATTAATTTAAAACAAAAGAGAGAGAGAGAGAGTTTTTTTTTTAAAACACAACTGCACGCATGGGAGGGGGCTACTGCCTTACTCCACGTCGGCGGTTGCTGCTGCCGGTGGCCGACCGGTGGGAAATGGTGGCGGCGGCCGACCACCTTGGTGTGTGCGTGTGAGTGTTGTGAGGGAGAGGGGAAAATTAAGGAGAGAGAGAAAATAAGAGGAGAGAGAGAGAGAGTTTACCTTTGGGTATTCTCTCCCTTGGGCAAGATCTAGTTTTCTCACAAGATGGGTATTTATACCCTCTCTCAAAACCCTCCTAACTTAAATTCCCTTTCTACCCTTAATGATTCCTTCTCCTATTCTACTACAAAAATAAGGCATTTTAGCTACGGAAATTCAGCAACAGAATTATTTCCGTTTCTAATATAGCGACGGAAAATAAAAATCCTTCGCTAAATCAAATCAGCGACGGAAAAATAATATCCGTAGAAAAGCCTAGCGACGAATTAAACTTTTCCGTCTCTAAAGCAGCGACAGATTTATAATATCTGTCGCTTAAATTTAATTTCCTTTTTTTAATTACAAATATGTCGTTTCTTAAAAAGAAAAGTCAGCAATTTTTTATTTCATTGGCGTTGAACTTTTCAATAACCCCGCCTTAAAATTTTCGCCTTCTTTCTTTTCTCTGTAAACCCCAAAACTCTTCTCTTCACCCCAAAAACTCTTCACTCTACGGTTTACTGGTCGCGGTCTCGGCTGTGGACTGTGGTAAAGGTTGAAGCATCACTGCTTGAAGGTAAAACAAAAGTTCGTTTAATGTAAATCTGTTCTAGGGTTTTCTTTAATTTGTGAATTGTCAATGGTAATCCTAGCTTTGGTAATGTCAGGTAAAACTACTATACGTCTGTACGAAATTATGGTTTTTAATTTTGGGATTTTGAAAGGCTATTCAATTTAGGGGTTTCGAAAGTATATTCAACTTATGTTTTTCAATTTAGGGATTTTGATACAGTATTTGGAAAAGGGTTTTCATTTTACGGAATTTGGTATAGAATTTAAGTATTAATTGTTTTTGCAAATTTAACTATAATGGGTTTTGCGATTTTGCTTTAATAAGGTCACGGTCGAGGTGGAGGAAGAAGAGGTGGAAAGGCGCCGAGTCGAGGCTGCTGAGGTGGTCGAGGTTGCCGGAAATAAAGGTTTGTCTGGATCTTTGAATGATTAGACTCTGTTTTTTTCGTATGAAAAAATGTTTATGAAATTAATCTTTGATAAAATACATGATTATGATAATCGATAATGATGTAAACTGGTGTTTATCTGGGTGAATGATTATTATATGTCTTTCGGTCGGTGTGGGCTGGGGATATTTATCTTGAATATTAGTCCTTGTAACTTTGCAAGAATCCTCAGATTTCTCCAAATGTAGCTATTCCATAAACATTTGAATGTGGATTATTTTTCCTGATGAGGTCGAGCTAAACATTTACTCTGTAACAATGGTTAATGGCAGAAGGTTTTGGGTTAAGAAATTAGTCCTTACTAAGCTAGTCTATGTACTCCAAAGACAGACTATTGGTACTTCTATGGATCAAACTGGGTGTGCAATCTATTCTTGCTAGCCTAGTCCATGTAAACGTCACCGTTTTATGCCTTTCAACTCTTCTTTTTTTCTTTCCTTTCCAATCTAAAACTCGATCAACATGATAATAAACAAAAAAACATTTATCTAGTATATAGTAATCTAAATCTCTGATTATTATATTACTTAAATTTCATTTCTGAAATGATTATCTATATTGAAACTTCAAGACAAAATTCGTTGCTAGTTGCTTGTTGTTTGATTCGTTGCTATTTGCTTGTTGTTTGATATGGATACTTGGTGTTGGTTGCTTGATATGGTATAATTTTTTTTTTTATTTAGTGAATTGTTCATAATGAGAATACTGTTAGACATATATATTTTCGTTTCTAATTTATTGAGTAAAGAGTACACTGACATTTGTTTGGGTTAAATGTTTTAAAAAATTTCCCTTTTAAGTAATTAAGAATTATTAAAATGAAGATAACTAGTATTTGTAAAACAACATTTTTTCGTGTATGCATATTTGTTTTGTTTAGTATTACTGTTTTTTAAGTAATTAAGATTGCTAATAATACAATTATAGTGATCGTAAAGGGAGGATGATGAGGACAATAGTAGATCGTGAATGGATGTATGAAAGGGTCAGTGGGAAATTTTTCAGTTTACCTATGCAAAAAAAGTCGACGAGTTTATTGAATTTGCTTGTAAGCAAGACAATGTCATGATTGATGGACTATTGAAGTGTCCATGTGCAAAATGTCGTAACGTTCCTTATTTGAATCCCGATGAAGTAAAATTCCATCTCTATCAAAATGGGTTCCGTCCTAATTACCATAGATGGGCTTTTCACGGAGAAGATGACTTTGACAATAACGTTCCACATAGTGGTTACGCTTCAATCGATGACATATCAAATCCATATAAGAGGATGGTTTTAGATGCATTTGAACCTAATTACCAATTGGAGTATGCATTAGAAGGATCATCTGATGTCGAAGAACCAATTCCTGAGTTCAAAAAGTTCATTAACATGCTCAAAGCTGCTGAGAAACCCTTATATGATGGCTGTAATTTGTCTATGTTATCCGTTGCTGCAAGGATAACTAACTTGAAATGCGAGTATAACATGCCGCATAAAGCGATCGATTGTGTTGCTTCGTTGATCAAGGATATTAGTCCAGAAGTTAATAATAATATAATATGACTGACACCTTTTATAGAACTCGAAAATTACTTGATGGGCTAGAGCTACCTCACCATAAGATAGATGTATGCCCTAATGGGTGTATGTTGTTTTGGAAGGAGAATAGTGATCTTGAAAAATGTCTGTCATGTAAAGTAAATCGCTATAAGACTTCAAGATCAAAAAGCAAAAAAAATCCTAGAAAAGTGTTGTTCTACCTTCCCATTGCTCCGAGGTTGCAAAGATTATATGTAACAAAGTCTACAGCAGAGCAAATGAGATGGCATGCGAGAAATCCTCGTGTGGAAGGTGTCATGTCTCATCCTTGTGATGGTGAATCATGGAAACACTTTGTTAAGTCTTTTCCATCTTTTTCTGCAGAGCCACGAAATGTTCGACTTGGGCTTTGCACGGATGGGTTTTCGCCTTTTGGGAAGTTAGGGCGGCAATATTCATGTTGGCCGGTTATGTTAACTCCTTATAACTTGCCACCATGGTTATGTATGAAAAAGCCTTTCACATTCGTAAGTTTGATCATTCCAGGTCCAAAGAGTCCTAAAGGGAATCTAGATATCTTCTTACAACCTCTTATTGTTGAGTTGAAGCTTCTATGGGAGGAAGGGGTTCCAACTTACGATGTCTCAAAAAAGCAAAACTTTCAAATGAGGGTTATGTTACAGTGGACAATTAGTGACTTTCCGGCATATGGAATGTTGTCCGGTCGGAGTACTGCTGGAAAGTTGGCGTGTCCATATTGCATGGAGCACACTAAAGCTTTTACCCTCACAAATGGTAAGAAGCAAACCTGGTTTGATTGCCATCGCCCATTCCTACCAGAAGATCATCCTTTTCGGCGAAATAAAAGTGCTTTTTGCAAAAATAGAGCGGAGTATTCTCCCGCCCCACCAAGATTAAGTGGTGAAGAAGTATGGGAACGTGTTTCAAAGCTGCCAAGAACAGGAGAATACGAACATTCTCAATTCTTAAGCCTTCTTAAAGGCTTGGGAGTTCCTCATAATTGGAATAAACAAAGTATTTTTTGGCAACTCCCATATTGGAGCAAACTTTTAATTCGCCACAATCTTGATGTCATGCACATTGAAAAAAATGTGTTTGATAATGTGTTTCATACTGTGATGAATGATAAGAAAAAGACAAAGGACAACTTGAAAGCGAGGAAAGATTTGAAGAAATTTTGCAAACGGAGAAAGTTAGAAGTTGCTGATGATGCTATTGATGAGACTAATATGCCAACTGCTCCGTATGTCCTGTCTAAGGAGAAGAGAAAGGCTTTTTGTGAATGGTTGGAAGGGTTGAAATTGCCTGATGGATATACATCTAATTTGAGTAGATGCATAGACGCCAAGGAGTACAAACTTTTTGGCATGAAAAGTCATGATTGTCATGTTCTTATGCAACGTTTACTTCCAATTGCTTTCAAGGACTTGCTGCCCGTTAATGTGTGGAATGCTCTCACTGAGTTGAGCCAATTTTTTAGGGATATTTGTTCATCTTCTGTAAAAATAGAAGATATGATTCGGTTAAAAAAAAATATACCTGAAATTCTTTGTAAGTTAGAGAAAATATTTCCTCCAAGTTTTTTCAACTCTATGGAGCATCTTCCTATCCATTTGCCATACGAAGCAAAAGTTGGAGGACCCGTTCAATATAGGTGGATGTATCCTTTTAAAAGGTAAATTATCGAACCTTTTTTTTTTAAACGAGTCTCACCGACAAAATATAAGTGTATTGACAAATGCAAGGCGTTTATGTGTAATGGTTTTTGTAGGTTTTTATACCACCTAAAAAAAAAAGGTGGGAAACAAAGCTCGAGTTGAGGCTTCTATATGTAATGCCTACTTATTAGAGGAGATCTCTACCTTTTGCTCCCACTATTTTGGAGATCATGTTAACACAAAAGTGGGCAATCTAGGATTGAATCTTAATGTTGACGAGGAACCTATTGACAAAGATCTGCCTGAAGTTTTCAACTGTGACAATGGTTATAGTCCACCAGAAGGTCAATTCGGTTATCTTACTGAAAAGGACTAAAATGTTGCCCATCGCTATGTCCTTGGTAATTGTGAGCTACTCTCTAATTTTGAAAGGTATGGCTTTAATTTTAGTTAGTTATCTGAACTTGAGATTATATTCTTACTTTTATTAACTAATACAAGAAATTTTATAGTTTGTTTGAAGAGCATGTGATGAGAACTTATGGTTGCTTTCATGTAGAAGATGTTTGGACCAATTATGATCAACAGTTTTCTTATTGGTTCAAAGAACATGTAAGTCAATAAAACCATGTATTAAGATATAAAATTAATTGGTTTTTTAAATGAATAATTACATAGTGTCTCAATTTTCTAGGTATTGGATATGGGCACAAATGATGACATCATTTATTCATTAGCAATCGGTCCAACGACAAGGGTACGAAAATTTGATAAGTACCACATTAATGGCTACCAATTTCACACATTCAACTATGGTAAGGATAAATCAATCTCAAAATTTGGTGTTTGCGTGAAAAGTGTGGAGGGGAATGATTATTTTAGGACTATTCAAGAAATAATCTAAGTAGTTTATACTGGTGCTAAAAGGAGTTATAAAACAGTTTTGTTCAAATGTGAGTAGGTTGATCCTAGACAAGGTACTCGGGTGCATGAAAAATATAAACTTGTAGAGGTCAATCACCTGAAAAAATACCCAAAGTATGATCCATTTGTGCTGGCTTATCAAGTGGATCAAGTGTATTTTGCACCAAATCCAACTATGAAAAAAGAGAGGAATCCATGGCTAAATGTCTTTAATGTCAAACCTAGAGGAATCATTGATGCCCCATTAGATGAGTTGGCATTTCAAGAGCCGGACATTCACAATCCTCCATCACTTTGTGAAGTTGAGCAAGATGAGTTTGATGAGGCTGATCAGCAAGAAGGGGAAGAAGAGGAACATGAAGAAGAAGAAGAAGAAGAAGAAGAAGAAGAAGAAGAAGAAGAAGAAGAGGAAGAAGAAGAAGAATTTACTGATGGAGAAGATGATGAAGATGATATGTAGTTAGATTTATTATCATCTAGAAATTTAAACTATCTGTTTTTAATTTGGTTTGTTGTCTAATATGCTTGTTAATCTAAACGTAATCTGGAGTCCATTGATATGTAGTTAGATTTATTATCATTATTTTTTTCTTGCATATTACGTATAAATTTAATGAGTTGTTATTATGTATGTTTGTATCTGTATTTATTAAATGTGCAGATGGCTTATAGACGTAGAGGTGGCTTGAACGGAAGAGGTGCAATCATTCGACCTCCAGGCCAACGTAATACAGGGGTAGCAAATCCCCACACTATGGCTGAAGAGTTGAGTCATGAGATACCTGGCAATAGTATACCCACTCTGATTCCAAATACCCATCTCCACTCAACTACCACCATACATTATCAAATGCCTAACGTTGGAGCAGCCACACAACTACCTGTGAACAATGTACCAGATGGCGTACTTAACCAGGCTGAGGTGCCTAATTCTATGACTCAAGCAACAGCTCACCAGGAGCAGGAGCCCCAGACAGACCAAGTGAATAATAATAGTAATACAAGTGTATATGATGAGACAGGTAATCCGGAAAAGGTTGATTCAGTGTTGCATCCTAATGGATTATGGTGAGTTGCATATACTTATAACAATCAAAGTTCTATACATTTACTTTATATAGTTTTTTTTTTTTTTTTTTTTTTTTTTTTTTTTTTTTTTCTATTTTAATATTCTGCCTTAAATAGGTTTACCCATCGTGATGTGGTTGATAAAGTATCTGAGACATCTTATAAGGCATACTTTAAGGGACCATATTGCAATTGGGGTATGACTTCACTAGATGTAAAACGGAGATGGTGGAATGCTTTCAAGGTTTGTGTTTTATAAGGTTTTTGTCCTGGTTTTTATTTGCTTACTTTGTCATTATTAAGGTGCAATATTTGTTTTATATCCCAATTAATAACTTTAATTTAATTTACCTTTGGTTGATCTTGCTTATTCAACTATAGCAAGAGTTCTCATGGGATCCATCAATAGCTATGCAAGTTAAGAAGGGCTGGAAATCAAAATGTAGTAGGCGTATTACTGATATGGTGTCAAAGATTTGCACAGAACCTGCCTATAATGCAGAATGGTGCCCTCCTACGATAAGGGAGCAAATGATTCAAATTAGATCAAAAGAAAATTTCCAAGAAAAGTCAAAGCAATGTTCAGTAAATCGAATGGGCAACGGAAACCAAAAAATACACCATCGACAAGGATCTATATCTACCGAAGAAGTGAGGCTGAAATTGGTAATGTTTTTTTTCCATGCATGAAATTATAATATGAATCAAAAAACATTATGTTGAGATGTGATAAGATTATCAAGGGATGGAGGCTCTGAAGTGTCTATGCCCAATAACTTGGTCACTTGAAAAATTATCAAGGGATAGACTTGTAATTAGGATTTTTATGACTTGGTTATTTATTGGTGTGAAAGTGGCTAATTATAAATGTGTGAGCTGGTATGAATAGGATTTTCTGTATTTTTTAATAGCTAAGGATGGGAATTAGTATTAGGGCATGCTAATTACTTCCATAGGTTTTAATGAATTAAGGTACACTTTATTACAATCTCTATTCATGAGTTCTGGTTCCCTAATTAAGCTGGAAATGGTGCTGAAATACGTTATTCTCATGCCACTTGTTTTAGAATGATTATTCCTATTTGGAATTGTTAAAAATTTTATGTGAAGGATTTGTTGGTGTGTATAACTGATTTTATATATCCTTAGTTATATATGCAATTCTAATGCTAATGTTAACGTTAATATATGGAATAGGAAAAGAAACTGAAACGTAAGCCAACTGCTGCCGAACTTTATTATGAACGTCATGCTGATAGCGGAGATCAATTTGTTAATGCCAAGGCAGAAATAGTGTGGGTGAGTATTGTTCTCTACTCTTAACTAATAAATTCTAGCTTGAGTTTGTAAATCTGATCATCATGTTGAAAAGTTCTTTCAAGCTTCAATTCTGGATATCTTTTACCTTTAATTAGATCAATTTATAGTCATTTGTTCTTGTCAAGGTACACTCAAATTTTGTTTTTATGGTTTAAACTCTGATGTATTAAATGCAGTGGGGTTGATTATGGTTAAAAAAATCTAGTCTGACCTTATTAAGTGGTCAGCATGAGTAAACTGGATTAAGTGCATTCTGATGTATTAAATGCACCAGATTACTTAGCTTGTAATTCAGTATTATATTTGTACCTATAAATAAAATGGGTAAGGTAAGAAAAGGTTTATTAAGGGGTCTTAGTGAAACAGATTTCAAACATATAATGTTAAATTTATATAGGAAAGATTACTGCCTAAAAAACAGCTGCATGCTATTGTACTGTGTTTTTTCAAATACCAGGTGGAGTTGATGATGGATCTACGAAATGATGGAATGTACAAAAGTAGCAAATGCGTTGACTGTAGGATGCATGTCATTATATCAAAGGCACATTGCTAGCTCAATAGTGGACTTATAGGTCAAAAATCTTGATATTAATCTAGACTCATATTGGATGCACTGTTTTTTTAGCTTTATTGTGGAGTGAACGAACCCTTAATTGAAGGTTTGAATAATTGACACTAACTTATGTCACATATTATGGAAAATTAGCTTGATGAATTAAAACAGGTTAACATTGAAACAGGTAATAGAATATTAGCTCCATTATTAGGAGAGGTGTTGGCGAAATTTCTGGTGATTACTTAATGAGGTTACTTTATCCTATTATTCACTATGTCAGTCGTATATGTGAAGTTCTTATAAGTTATTTTTGTTTTTTTTTTCCAGAATGAATATTCAAGTAAAAAAGCTACCAACCTTGAATGTGAAAGTGAGAATAAAAAAACAGAAGATGAGTTGTTCCTTGAGGCTGCAGGTGGGTGGAATGAGAAGGGAAGATTATTTGGTTTGGGTGCAGCTGCTGACTCATACTATGAAAGACCTGGAACTGAAGTAAAGAGGGTAAAGAAATCAAGAATGCAGCATGCAATAGAGTTGGAGAACAAGTTTATCGACCTGGTTACGGAGAATGAAGAACAAAAGAAGGAGCTTGATGCAACAAAACAGAGCCTAGTCGAAACTCAAAAGTCTTGCAGATACTCAAAACATTTTGAAGGCCCTTGAACAACAAGTGCAAATGCTTTTAAAATCCAACAACATCACAGTCACTCCTACATCTTCTCTGACTAATGGATGATTAACACTTAGTTGATTAACATAACTTTTTGTACATGCATGTGAAGTCAGTAAGTTATTACATTTGACATGCTTCTAAAACAGGTTGAAGCTAGGTAGCATATTTTGTAATTATATAAGGCACTAACTAGGTTCCAATTAGGTAGCATATTTTGAGGGCTTCTTCATATTTTAACTTACAATTCTTAGAAGCTCTTCCCTTGAAGCTACATTTGTAATTATGAACTTCTTGGCCTTTAAATATGTTCAGATCATTATTTTGGTGGAAATTTCTCGTTTTTGTTTTAATATTCAAAGTTATAGTGCATTTAAATGTCATGTGACGACGAACTAATTGATGATAGGAAATTTATAATAAAAAAAAACAAATAAAAATAGAAGCTTGATTATAGGATCTTAAGGTGCTATTGTAAGCGACAGTTTATGTATTTCCGTTGCTAATTTTAGAAACGGATTTTGTATTTCCGTTTCTAATTTTAGGAACGGATTGAGTATTTCCGTTGCTAAATTTAGAAACGGATTGTGTATTTCCATTGCTAATTTTAGAAATTGTTGGATTGTGTATTTCCGTTGCTAATTTTAGAAACGGATTGTGTATTTCCGTTGTTAATTTTAGAAACGGATTTTATATTTCCGTTGCTAATTTAGAAACGGATTATATATTTCTGTTGCTAATGTTAGAAACGGATTTTATATTTCCGTTGCTAATTTAGAAACGGATTATATATTTCTGTTGCTAAAGTTAGCGACGGAATTTTTATTTCCGTTTCTAAGTCATTGCAACAGAGTTTGAAACGGAAAATATTCTGTCTCTAAATCAGCTACGGTTATACTTTTTTTCTATCGCTAAGCTCATTTAGTGACAAGGCTTTTAACAACGGAATGAATCCGTTGCTAAATCCGTTGCTAGCTTAATCTAGCGACGGAAAAGTGGAATCTAGCAACGGATTCGACCGGACGCTAAATGACCTGATTTTTGTAGTGTTCAAACTAGTCATTGACCTTCTTTAAAATTCCATTGACCTTAAAACTTCCTTTTATAAAATAGTTATGCCCCAAAGTTTACAAATAATAAAATGAAATATTTCCAAAACAATTAAATAAATATAAATGGACGTTTAATTAAAATAAACCTTTTTAAATTAATAAAATACTATAAATAATTCATTTCGAATTATTTAAATACTTCATAAAATAATTTTTTAAATTAAAATACGTATAAAAATACGAGGTATTACAGTTTCACCCCCCTTAAAAGAAGTTTCGTCCCAAAACTTGGGTAACAAAATATTAAACTTTTCCTCACTTTGTGTAATACTGTTGTAATCTTTTGAGATACTTTTACTTTTAATATCTCTTTGAAATTAAAAGTACTCAAAATAACCGTTAAAAATGTGTGAAAAGCACTAAAATAACTGAAAATATAGGGAATAAGCGCGAAATTCTTCGCAATCTACCCCCCTTAAAGAAAATGAGTTAAGTCCCCGTAACTCAACATACCTAAAATAACTCAAGGTATTTCTTTTTCATCTCATCCTCAGCTTCCCAAGTTGCTTCTTCATATTCTTGGTTAGACCATAGCACCTTAACAATCTTAACTTCCTTGTTACGTGTACTATGCACTTTACTATTAAGGATCTTGACAGGTCTGTCCTCATACGTTTAGCTTTGATCTAACTCAATTGTTTCAGGTTGTAGCACGTGCGACTTATCAAGTATATACCTTCTTAAGACACATGAAATACATCATGCACCTTACTTAGCTCCATAGGTAGGGCCAACCTATAAGCTACTTTGCCTATCTTCTGTAATATCTCATATGGACCAATATACTTTGGGCTAAGTTTTCCTTTATTCCCAAATCTCATGACACCTTTCATTGGTGACTCCTTCAACAACACTTTGTCACTAACCTCAAACTCTTCCTCCCTGCATTTTTAATCTGCCTAACTCTTTTGGCGGTCTTGTGCTGCTTGAATCTTAGCTTAAATCTCTTTTACCTGCTTAACTGTATCTTCGATCATTTGAGCCCCTAAGATCATTGTTTCACTTATGTCGTTCCAACATACAGGAATGCAACACTTCCTTCCATATAATGCCTCAAATGGAGCCATACCAATGCTCGCATGATAACTATTGTTATACGAAAATTCAATTTAGTCCAAGCTATCTTCTCATCCTACTTGGAAGTCTATGACACAAGCTCTCAACATATATTCCAAGGTTTGAATAATTTTCTCAGTTTGACCATCTGTGGCAGGGTAAAATGTTGTACTTATCTTAAGGGTTGTACCAAAGTTTTCCTGAACACTCTTCCAGAACTTAGAAAGAAACCTAGAATCTCTATCAGACACTATACCCTTTGGAACTCCATGTAACCTCACAACATTATTGATGTAAGCTTTTGCAAGTTGCTCCATCTTCTAGGTCTCCTTCAATGGTATGAACACTGTAGATTTAGTAAGTTTATCCACATGACCCAAATGGTATCATTTCCACTCTTTGACTTTGGGAGGCAAGTCACAAAGTCCATTGAAATGCAGTCCCACTTCCATCCATGAATTTCCAATGATTGCACGTTCCTTGTGGTCTCTTGTGCTCTATTTTCACCTTTTAACAAGTTAGACATTTTGCTACAAATTCCGCAACTTCATTCTTTATTTTAGGCCACCAATACACCTTTTTCAAGTCTTTATATAGCTTGTCCCCTCCTGGGTGTACTGAGTATGGTGTATTGTGACCTTCTTCCATTAATTTTCTCTTTACTTCCTCGCATTTTTGTGGTACACACCATCTACCTTTGTACCTTAAACTCCCATCTTCATAAATTTTGAAATATATAGCTTTTCCTTGCCTTATTTTCTCACGAATCCTATCCAACTTAACATCTCCTACCTGATTTTCCTTTATCTCATCGAATATTGTTGGTTGAATGATTAAATTTGCGAGTATTCTTGCTGGTACTCCCCATTCTAGCACTTCTAGGTTCATTTTTCTCATTTCCCTACAAACTCATCAGCCACTATCAAAGTGTTTAGTCCATGACTCGTCTTTTGTCTTGGAGCATCTGCAACTACATTCGCCTTCCCTTCATGGTATTGTATCTCCAAGTCATAGTCCGTTGCAAATTCTAACCATCTCCTTTGTCATGAGTTTAGATCTCTCTAGGTGAAGATGTACTTCAAACTTTTTTGGTCTGTGTAAATACTACACTTCACCCCATACAAGTAATGTCTCCAAATCTTTAGTGCAAAATGATTGCAGCTAATTCTAAATCATGAGTAGGGTTATTTACTTCATGAGGTTTTAACTGTCTTGATGCATATGCAATCACCTTTCCATTTTGCATAAGCACACATCTTAGACCATTCTTGGATGCATCACTATATGCATCGTAGATCCCACTATCATCTAGCAATGTTAGCACTGCACTGTGATCAGTTTTTGCTTCAAGATACGTTTCCTCGCACTTTCATCCCACTCGAATTTCTTGTCCTTCTTTATTAGAGAGGTCATAGGCTTACCAATTATAGAAAAGTCCTCCATATATGCCTATAATACCCTGGTAAACCTAGAAACTCCTAATGTCAGACACCGTCTGTAATACCCTGTATTTTTCAAACGTATTTTCTAATTAATTAATTAATTATTTTCTAAAAAGGTATTTTAGTAATTTATTTTACTATTTGAATTTTGGCGCCAAAAGTATTTTAAAACTTAATTATTATTTTTGGATTTTGCATAGGATTTATTATCCATTTATTAAGCAAAAATTATATTTTATTATTTAATTAAGTGGTCCGAAAATTCCTAATAATTAAGCTAGGGATTTCTGATTTTCCTAGTGTGGAAAAAATGATTTTCTTAGTTAATATGTTTAGTGAATAGTTGGTATTCTCTTAATCAATTATTTTATACAATAAATATTATTTACACAATTATTTTTAATCCCTTAAATCTAGCAAAATAATTTCTTAAACTCTACATAAGGGGTCCGAAAATTTGAGCTATGGAAGCTCAAAAATTTCGGCCACCTTGGTTGGATTTTGGGTGATTTATTTTGGTAATTTGTATTTTTAATTATCTCCCTTAAATCTATTATTTTCCTTAATTATTATTTCCCATCTCCTAAATATTTGATCATCTTATTTCTGTACTTTATTTCATCCTTGATTATTCCCCAAGCAAGCTCTTTTGCCATATTGTTTTTCATGACAACCCACTTTCCATAAATTAATTATGATTAGGGGATTTTTCCCCACCAATCACCATCTGACAAGTGGACCAATCAGGTTCCGCCATGTGTCCGTCACATGGGCCAATATGAGCCTGCCACGTGTCAAGCAATGATCCGTCCACTATGGACCAATTACGACACGACACGTGTCCTTCCCATGACACCTGGGATAACCGGTCACCTAGGCCCAACTTCCGAGGGAAGCCCAATCAGCCCAAGGTTAACCTAAACCTAGATTGGCACGTTTCCCGAGGTTATAAATACCTCCCTTAATCCTCATTAAGGGAGATTACGCAAAAAACGCAGATTACACACATTAAACTCTCTCACCTAGAGAGACCCAATCACTTTAATTTCCGCATTAATTACTCCTTAATCAAATACTAACTTGACCGTCGGAGGCGGATCTCCAATCATCCGGAGCATCCGTTTGTTTTGCAGGTACAGGCGTCCGGTTCCAGTCTCGGAATTGTAACTCTCCCGCAGGACATCAGAAAACCCCGAAACATTTTGGCGCCGTCTGTGGGGAGAGTACTTCTGAGATGGCATCCACGTTTGTACCGGCTCCTGAAGAGAGACGTCCCCTGGACGACCCTCTAGTTCAGTCGGACCACGATACTGAGAATGAATTTGAAGTTGAAGCTCACACAGCTTCAGACGGGACCCTAAGGGCCCGACGTACCCGTCATACCGAAAGGAGGGAACGGAAACATCTTCAAACTGGAAGCGAGCCAGCAGGCGCACCGCCTGTTCGGCAGCAGCCGACTGATGGGTCTGCTCCCATCACAAGGAACAAACTTATGACCTTCATGAGGGACTTCAAGGGAGAAATTCAAGAGTTGATTAACAAGAAGCCGCCTGCTCTGGACAAGGAGCAGTCGGCTAAGAAACCCTCCACTTCACGGAAGAGGAAGCCAGTTCAAGGGCGAGAGGCGACCCCTCATCCTAAATCTAGGAAGTGGGAGCCCCCTGCCCTTGATTTCAAAAAATACCGTTTTCCTACTCCAGAAAATAGGAAACCTGTTCGTCATA